GGCCCGGGGGGGGCCCGCGCGCAGCGCCAGGCCCTGCAGAGCCGCTTCCCGTGCCCGCTGGATCCTCGGGTGCCTGGCCTTGCGCCTCAGGACGGCGGCCGTGCTGGGGAGGCCGGCTGCCAGGTCAGGCACCTGGGCCGTCACCAGGGAGCACAGGGAGGCCAGGGTTTCACACGTGCGGCTGAGCAGGAGGTTGATCTCTGCAGAGGTCTGTCTGCCAAGGAGGGAGAGACAGGGGCTTTTCCTCAGGCAAAGAAATTGTATCTCTTAAAAATCTCGGTTCGTTCACATTCAAATAACAAGCAGTGTCATAGGTTTCGGCCAACTCGAGCACTGCTTGTCTGGCCACCCGCCTCAGGATGAGCTGTATTTTGAAAAGGCCACTGAGCAGTCGCCCCTGGGGAGGGGAGCCTCAAATGTACGCAGAGCTGTTTGTCCCTTGAACGGGCGTGGGGGAGCTTGAATAAAAAACAAATGGGAGCAGACTCTAATGGGAGCAGACTCTGTTTCCTGCGGGTCTGGCTGTATTCACCTCATTTATTCCTAATTAACTGTTTCTGGATTTTTTATAACTTGACTGATATCCACCCAGAAGGGAAAAGAATAGGATAATGCAAATAGTCGTACTTTGTTACTAATTTCTGACAGCTGCCAGGATGATTTATGTTGCCCACAACATAATCCAGTAACAGAGCCTAGGCCCAAATAAAGACACTAAAGTAAGGGCTTGAAACTCAGGAAAAACTCCCTCCTAAAGACTAACAATGTCTATAAAGGATATAGAATCTAATGCTAGCTTGATTTTTTTCTCTCTCTCTGCTGAATCCTGTTTTAGTTTAAATCTAGTGTTAGTTTAGCAATTAACTATGCTTCTGTTGTACTTGTTGATGTTAAATGCCTCTCTATGATGCTTGCAATTTGAATTCACTTTTGTATGCACAGTTATTTTGACTACCTTCTGTAATAATTTAGGCCACTATTTCAAAAATCAAGAGCCAGAGCCTGTAGTTAGCTCCTGGAACTCATATTTTGATCCCACTTGCGGAAATGTGTTAGTGTATAATTTTATCTAAATAATCAAACATTTCAGTGAAAAACAGCTATATCTTCAGGATCTTACTAAAAGGCACCTAGATTTAGCAGTCTGTTTCTTCAGAGGTACTTAGAAAGCAATAGCTGCTCCAAACACTAGAATTTCAGAACTTTTAGTCACAAGAAGGAAAGACTATAAGTATTATTGAAACCTAACCTCAGGTGCTAAAAGTATGAATATTTAGGCCTTACTAAGTAGGAAAAAGAAATCATAGCATTAATGTTTTTCTCTTCTTATTATGGAATAGTGTTACACAAAAAGGCTTCATGTCACTGGTATTCTTAGAAGTGGCGTAGCTATATTTAAATGTATTAATATTTAGTAGTTTTTTTTTAAAGAAGCAACTATCTTTAATATGAATGGAAGGAGGCTTCCTTTCCTCATATTGTCTGTTTCTGTAGTAACTAGCAATCCAAAGTGGGAAAAATTAGCAGTATGCGAAGGCTGCCGTGTAACCCCATTGTCAAGTGCACACATAGCCTTATCAGTGTCATCCACACATGTAGGGAGCAAGACAAGACTGAGTGTTGATCCTTCCCTTGTTGCTCACCTGTCTTCTGACATGGATATCCACATTGCATCCTGGCTCATCTGATTGTCCAGCATCTCACTGTGACGTTCAAACTTCCATGCCAGTTTGTCCAAGCTTGACTTCAGATCTTTGAACTGAGTTTCCAAGGTCTGCAGCTTATTTTCTACCCTGAGGAATGGAGAACAGAGGCTTTCTTTTAGATACTTGGGTCTCAACACGTTGTTCTCTCTGCCCTAAAAGTGGATGACGCTTACTATTCCACTGAAACAGTTCTAGATGCAATTTTGAGGTTCTCCGCAAGTTGTGTGAGAACATTGATTCCTTTTACAGATACATACCGCTAGAAATTCAGCTTCTTGATACAGCCTACGTGCCTTTGACCCTTGCCTGGTGTAGAACTCTTAAAACTTGTACATATGGATGTAGTCTTACGAAATGTCTGCATTTATAGATAAATCTATATTTGAGTCACAGGTGTCAACTTATGTTAGTGGCGCAGTTCTTTTTTCTAATAACTTTTGAGCTGATTTTTGCTTTTACTTGAAGTGGCATGATCTTCTGAAGCATTTTTATTTGACACTGAACAGAATTTCTCATTCTTTCCTCTTCCCTTTCTCCAAATTAAAAATTATGCAAATAATAAGCCAAGCCATCCTCAGTGTGTTTGTTGCTTTTCCCTTTTGTGTTACAAGACTTTTTTTCCACAGAACAACAGTAAAATAAGAAGTCCTTAATGAAACAGCAGTAACTGTTGTGTTTTGTAGTTGATACATTTATTAGCTTTTTCACTTTCTAAGTAGCTGTTGTTTTTCTCTTAATAAAAATACCACCAGAAAGAAAGAAGCCTAGCACATAAAACTCTTCAAGTATAATGAAGAGCAACAAATGTGCACAAAATACAAATACTTTCATTCCGCCATATTTTGTCCCTAGACACAATAATTCCTCTTAAACTGAGCAATTTTCTTAGTTGTGTGCAGGCTCAAACATCCTACTTTATTATTATAATTTAAGAGAGTACAAAAAAAAACATTTTCTTAAAAAACAAGAGAAAAACAATAGATATTTTGTTAAAAAGCTAATAAATCTATCAACCACATAACAGTTTTCTTTAAGTTCTTTTTGGAACTGGGCATAGTTCTTACCAGTTGTTTGATTTCAGTGACTTTCTTAAGGATAGTTTTCTTTAAGTTTATTCTCAGTTAACTGTTGCACTTAGATGTGTGTTTGAAAAAGACCTTGAGGATCTCAAAGCTATCAAAACATTTATCTAAAATTCCTTCCTGGATACCAAACAAGTAACTAGCTACTATGTCTTTTACAAGTGATTTATCAGTAGGACACCAGCTACTCCCATAGACTTATTGTTAGTATTGGATTGTATTCTTCTAATGATTAGGGAACCATATTCTGAATTGGGATCCTCTTGTGCTAAATACTGTATTAAAGCAAAATGAAAAAAAAAAGCAGGCCTTGCTCTAAACAGTTTGAAAGACCGTTGTATTTGTTGGCTTAAAAATACTGTTCTTTGCCTTGATAGAATGACATGTTACTGTTCTATTTTTGTATATCTTGGCTGAACTTTTTTATAAGGGGAAAATACACAGTAGCTTTCTGGTCATGGCATAATCTCTACTTGCCCCCTTAAAAAAAAAAAACTTTAGAGAGTATAAACAGCAGATCAATGCATTTACCAATAGTTTTCCCTTCTCATTCATACATACTTTACAATATTTAAAAATGTAAATTCTTGTTTGGAGACCAAAAAGCCATAGCGGTGGTGGTCTGCAAACGTGATATATTCCAAGGCATTTTAATTGCTAGTTTGAGCATACACCTCTATTTCAATATTTTCTACTTACTTGATTTCCAACTGTTCAGAGTCAGCTCTGACAAGAATGCTGCTATTGTTTTAAGGGAACAGGAACGCAATCACTTGTATAAATGTTGGGCCCTTGCAGGAAAGCCATTCTTTTGTTAGTAACAGTGCCTCCATATAACTGATTTTTCTCTTATGTTTTGGGAAGTGTCTTCAATTGTTCTGAATAAGGATAAACTGGAAATGCATCAGTAGTGGCATAGTTCTCTAAGGCTCCCTGACCTTGAATTTATTATCTGTTTGGCAGCTCATACATATCCTGGGCTAACTTCTTTTGCATTAGTCATTCTGAGAAGGGAAAAACGGGGTCCATGTGTTTGATATTCTGGGCTAAGGCTCAGGAAACTTTGTGTATGCCATTTTGCCAGAGATTTCCATTATAACCTTGTGAAAGTTGCTTATATCCTGATCCTACATATATTCATTGGTAGGCCTCTCTTGCTTTACAGGGATATTTATTTCTCAGAACCTCCCTTCTCCTGTTGTATCACATTATAGATTGTTGGAGCTGGGCATAGTTCTTAAAAGCTGTTTGATTTCAATGACTTACTGAACTTGATGTTGCACAACTCAGAACTCCAAATGCCTCCGAAATAAGGTAGAATCAAGTAAACAAAGTCTTTTCTGAAACAAAATCTTTTCTGTCACACTGTCACACTTTCACAGAATCACAGAATGGTTTTGAGGTTGGAAGGGACCTCTGGAGATCATCTAGTCCAACCTCCCTGCTCAAGCAGGGTCCTCTAGAGCATATTGCCCAGGATCACATCCAGACGGCTTTTGAATATCTCCAGGGAAGAAGACTCCACTACCTCTCTGGGCAACCTGTTCCAATGCTCTGTCACCCTCACAGTCAAGAAGTTTTTTCTCAGGTTCAGATGGAACTTCCTGTGGTTCAGTTTCTGCCCGTTGCCTCTTGTCCTGTTGCTGGGCACCACGGAGAAGAGGCTGGCCTCATCCTCTCGACACTCCCCCTTCACATACTTATACACGTTGATGAGATCCCCTCTCAGTCTTCTCTTCTCCAGGCTGAACAGGCCCAGCTCTTGCAGTCTTTCTTCCGAGGAGAGAGGCTCCAGCCCCCTCATCCTCTTTGGAGCCCTCCGCTGGACTCTCTGCAGTAGGGCCATGTCTCTCTTGGAGTGGGGAGCCCAGAACTGGACACAGGACTCCAGGTGAGGCCTCGCCAGGGCTGAGGAGAGGGGCAGGATCACCTCCCTCCACCTGCTGGCAACACTCTGCCTAATGCACCCCAGGAGACCATTGGCCTTCTTGGCCACAAGGGCACACTGCTGGATCATGCGTAACCTGTTGTCCACCAGCACTCCCAGGTCCTTCTCTGCAGAGCTGCTTTCCAGCAGGTCCACCCCCAGCCTGTACTGCTGCCTGGGGTTATTCCTGCCTAGGTGCAGGAGCCTGCACTTGCCTTTGTTGAACTTCATGAGGTTCCTCTCCGCCCAACTCTCCAGCCTGTCCAGGTCCCTCAGAATGGCAGCACAGTCTTCTGGTGTGTCAGCCACTCCCCCCAGTTTAGGATCATCAGCAAACTTGCTGAGGGTGCACTCTGTCCCTTCCTCCAGGTCATTGATGAATAAGCTGAGCAAGACTGGAGCCAGTATTGACCCTGGGGGACACCACTAGCTACAGGCCTCCAACTAGACTGTACTGCTGATCACAACCCTCTGAGCTCTGCTTCAAGGCATACCTGTGTACTGTTGAGTTATTTTAAACCTTGTAAAAAGCTAGTCATTTAGCCAGTCATTACACAACACTAGCCATTTAGCCAGTCACAGCATTCCTTCTGCTGTCTACTGATAATTTCTTTCCTCCTTCCATGTTATCGAATGCTCCTCACAACTTGCATCCTAGAGAGCATGCTCAACCGTGTCAGGCCGAGTTACACACTGAAGGTGTTAGTACTATACTTGAGTAAGCGCATGCTGCTCTGTCATGTGTGTTTGTCACGCTTTATTTCATAGGATGCGCTCATTAATGTTTTAGCAGAATTAAAGCATTTTCCTCTTTACAGCACAGCAGTCGTTCAAATACATCTTAATTTCTGGGAGACCTAGCAATCTCATACTGTATATAGGGGCTTCTGTTAACATCTGTCATTTGTGGCCAGCTTCAAACAGCAGATTCCCATTGGAGTCGATTTGACTTAGGCTCCTCTGCGGTTGTATCTACTATGCTTTTTACTTTGTCTTTCTGACCCAATTCCTTTTGACTGTAGCCTTGTCTATACTACATGTTGGTTACAGAAGCCAGAAAAGAGAAGGGAACTAAAGAGTAAAAGCTCAAGTCTTGAAGCCTAAGTCTCTACACTGGGGGATTCTCCTCAGCTGAGATCTGTTGGTATAAAATAACACTATGTAGAGCAAAGAAGTGGCACAGAAGTTTGTTGTATTCTGAAGTGTAAATTGTCATGTCTGGAGAAAAGATCATCTTTGTTACCGCACCACTGCTGTTACAGTGGAGACCTGGTCTTTGACTACAGTATTTTCATAATTTGAATATATAGGCAAATATCAATATCTGAAACATTAATTTCATAGACAGAAGTACTGCATTTCATCAGCAATGATAATATTGATGGACAGTAATCATTTTTACTACACATAAACTAGATTTACATGTATGTCACCTAAGTTGACACACGCATTTCTTGCTATTTGCACAGTACCTTCAAAGACAGTGAATTTTCATATATGTGTGAATACTGAAAGGGAACAGTGTCTTGCCTGTCTCTGATAACTGGAGAATTTCAGACCCTTTTTCAACTCTTTCCTTCTTCCTGAAGAGCAGTGGTCATTGCATTAGAAAAGTCGTCTGTCAGTGCAAGTGGCTTGCATTCGATCCTTCTATCTACCTAGCTGCTTAGCAACACGGTCTGCTGGTGACTGTAATGTCACGCTGCAGCTGAACGTGTGGACTGATAGCAGTAGGGGCAGCATGTGTCAGGTTATTTTTACATGAAGCCAACGAACCTGTTGGTCAAGTATTTTTGCAAGCCTCTTCTGGGTACAGACTTTGAAAATGGAAGGTGAATCAGCATCACCTATGTCCCAGTTCCTCAGTGACAGTGATTTTGTTTCTTAGAACATATCTTTAAAAAAAATAGATGATCTTTCTTAACTATAGCTGCTTACTTCCTATCTTTGAACCCTCTAGATTCTCAGCTGTTTGTCCAAATTCAGAAATTCAGCACGAATCTCAGCACAAATCATGTAGAACTGCACCATAGCAGAGTGTGAACTAGAACTTCCCTTTACCCATAGGTGCTTGGCAACACTTCAAGAAGCCATAGGTCTTTGCTGATCAAGCAATTGCACAGAACCTTGTAGCAAAACACGTGGGGCTAGCAGCTTGCAAGCTGTCCAGAATGGCATTCATGAAGTGGTGCAGCGTGTTGCTTTGTCCCCGTCCGCTCTCAAATGAATAAGAGAGAAAGAGAAGATCGCTCATGAACTGCTCCCTTTCCATATACACACAATATATATTTATATTCTCTTTATTTCCCATGAAAAATTCCAAGGGAAGTAAAAGTTCATGTTGCTAACAGACCACTACAGGATAGTCTTGTCTTTTCCCCCCCTGCCCCATCCCGTACCTCCTTTTTCCGGAAAAGGATTGTCCTTTCTTGCCCCTTAATGTATTATTAAAACAACCCTTTAATAACCTGTTTAATGTCTTGTTCAGGGAGCGCAGAGACACGCCGTCTTTAGTCATCTTCATGGAAAACAAGAAGAGAAGAAATAAAGCTGGAATAGGCTTGCACTCTCCTGAAGCAGTCAGCAACAACATGCACAGGGGATCTGATTCCTGCTGGAGGTTGTTTTGCACTGAGGCTTTTTATAGCCTGTACATCTAAATATAGTTCATAGATGCACAGACACATGTTCATGAACATATTACATAGTGAATTATGCATTTGGATCACTTCCTCTGACCAAGTGATCCTGTCTGTCTTCATGTATAAGATGAATTTGAAGGTGATGTGGAAGGGGATATCTACACTATGCTGGTTTCTAATGTGTTTAGGCTTTATTTTGCTGTAGTGCCTATCACTTCTTGTCTTGGGCCAAAGCCTCCTGGTATTAGAGACTGCATAAGCAAATTTCTTTTTAAGTAAAATTAGATTTGGATGAGAATGACAAGTTGTACTGGCTTGCTGGGAATTACTTCTGACAATGAAGTACAGCAAAAACAAGGCTGTTTGTTAGAATGTCTTCCATAATGGTTGAACAGCCAGTGCTACTGGCTAATTATTTGCAGGAGCTGGGTACACAAAGGCCTGGAAATTTGTTCCATCAAAAATAAAAAAAAGGTAGGTAACGTGTGACTGGTAACATAAATACTGAAGACAGCACACAGACAAATGAATTAAAACAGCAATTTAACCAGTACAACGCATTCACTCTTTGCCTGTAAGAAGCTCAGGACAGCCTGAGAAAATAAGCTTTTTTTCTTTTAATTATCTGCCCATTGCATGGGAAATTTAGCATGAATTAAGCATGTCAAGATCTGAGGCATTCCCACTTTTTACATTTTTCCTGCCTTTAACTTGCAAATTAAGAAGCATTTCTAACAAGCCATAAGGGCCTAATGCTACTTGTTGTATTTAGAACAGCTTTGTGAAACAATGGAAGTATTTGGGTAAGGAAGAGCAGTGCATTTGGCCCTTTCCATTTACTCTGTGATGACTATAAAATCTACTTTGTGGTACAATTTTGCTTAGCCCGTAAGATTGGTAATACCAGCGTGAGCATGAGCTCAAGGGTGCAGTGAAAGATCAAGCATTTATTGAGACAAATGCAATAGTTATTTTTCTCTCCTGGAGTAAATAACATTTTTGAAAGCAAATTACATGTGTAAGATGACTGACCAAGTAAACACTTGTTAACATTTTCTCCAGTTCCTTTGCTTACAGGGTGAAAAAAAATCCAACTGACAGTGACTGTTACAGGGATTTGATTACTCATTAGAGAAGTTAATTTACAAATGTGTTTTTAGTCTTAAAGGCACCCACTGACAAATTAACGAAAAATACACTGTGTCCAATTTAAGCTAACTGTGACACAGTTTAATAGGGAAGGTAAAGTAAAGCACTGAAATAGTTCAGACTCCCTGTACAAATGCAAGGAGCTCAGCCAGTTACATCTTTATTACTGCTCAGCATCCTAATTTAGTATTGTGGGTTTCCCTGTTGAAGTGAATTTCTTCCTCCAATCTTAATTATATCCGGTCAGTTTTGAACTAATATTTTCCCAAATCTATTGAAACCAGTTTCACTTAAATTTAAGACGCAAATTGCCAACTCTACCAGAAAATTTTGAGGTGAATACTAGCCACTGGAAAATACCATGCAAGGTCAGTTAACATCATAAGTATTTGCATGAAATAACACAGCAAATCTCTTGCCATTCCTGAGGCTACAGGAGGTTTCATTGTTCAGTTCACTGTCAGCAGATGTAGCTGACAGTTTGAAACTGTCATTTCAAACACCCTAGGAAATGATTCTTCACCACAAATTTCCTTAAACATTTCAGCACCTAGGCTTCTGGTAATGGATACACAGATATAGAACTACTCTGATCAGCAACTAATACTCTCTTAGAGCCTTTGATCTCTGTACAGGAGATCCAGTTCACCTTCTCTCCATGTTCAATGGTTAGCTTTGGTAAAATTCTAGCATGTTCATTTGAAACCATTTTGTTGGGCTTTCCCTCTTTTTTGGTGGAAGTAGGTGCTTGGGCCTTCTTTCTCTGGAGAGATTTTGCCGGGCTTTTCTGTTGTTTCCCAACACCATTGCTGACATCCCAGAGCAAGACTTTCCCGTCATTTCCTCCAGTCAGCAGCCAATATGCTTCTGGCATAAAAAGGACCTGTGACACTCCCAAACTGTGACCTTTAAATCCTAACTCATGTTCAAACTTAACACCGGTGACCCTGAAGATTCTGACTTTACCATCTTGAGCTCCACAACCAAAGATGTTGCCACATGATGCGACAGACAGGGAATGTGCAAGTGGCGGGTTAAGGAAGTGGCCAGCTGTCTGTGGATTGGCTTCATCCATTTCACAGTCCTGCAAGTTTGTGGTGCACAGTGGACGAGCCTTCTGCAGGTTCCACAGCATAACCTTAAAAAAATTAAGAATTAATGGTCTGTCAACGCAGCGTCTGATTCCTAAGTAAAATCAGATTTTTTCACTAATGGTAAAAGAAATAAGTTATTGCTCTAGCAGATCAAAGACTCTGTACTGAGAGGGCAAGAGATGCAAGATCTGTTGTGAGAAGTGGTTGAACCCCACTGGATAAATAAAGCAAATCTTTATGGCACACTTTCCAAACTGTCACATGCCTTTCCCAATAGAGTTAATGACTCAAACCTTTAGAATGTGAAATGAGTGAAAAAGCTGTTCTAAATGCTTTTGCATTCATCTCAGTAGTAGAAATCATTATATATGGTACTTCTTAATTATTTAAAGAGAAGGGACACAAAAACGTTATCAGTGAATGAAGAGAGCTGTATCATTCTGAATTTTAGGTCTGTCTCTGTTACATACTTGTTCTAAGATAATCAATTAACTTGTTTGAAAAATGAAGCAGCAAAAGGCTAACAGTAGTTCATTCCCTCAATTCTGTACAAATATATGTGTGTCTTTTATAGACAATGGGCAGATCTAGTTGGTGTTATTACTGTATTAGGGCTGAGCACACTTTTCCTGATAAGATATGGAGCTGATGGAGGGGGTTTTAGACTTCCTTTTAAAATGCCACACCACCTTCAGGACCCTCCTGAGGCAATAACTGTGCCTTCAAATGCGCCCTGTGTCTGTTATACAGGTATTCAAGTATTATAGATTTATACTGCATCAGTTAAAACATGACCAGTCATTATTTACAAAAATTACAAATATTATTTATAATAATCTGAATTGATGATTAGCATTTTTAGAACCAACAGATATGGAAGCATAAGTCAGTCTTTAATGCATCATTGATGTACTGTTTGCTTTTCTAATGAGAGTTTTGATCTGTCATTAATAAACATATTCTACCACTAGGCATCTGTAACAGCACTTTTACTTTAGTACCCAAGTCTTTAAATTGGGGCCACAAAAAGAGTCATTCTGGATCTGAATTTACAGAAGCCAAATTACATAGACACATCCAAAATATATTAGTTATTTGCTGTCATTTTTGTGTTTGAGCACTCACTGTTGCAGCTACGGTAAAACTGCTTTGCTCCTAACGAAAGGGAAAACATTCCATGATGACTCGGCAGCATAGAGCAAATTAGAGAGGCCGGGTCTAATGCTTAAGGCAAACAGTCCAATTCTCATCTTTGATAGTGCTGCAAGAGCTTTAGCAAATACATCTGGATTAAGTGGTAAAGCACCCAAACAGTAACAAGCTTTCTGAAAAGCAAGTATCTTACTTATTACAGCTCAGCTTCTCTGTGAAATGGTATATCCTAAAGACAGCCTTGATGTCTGTAGAAATGCTCTTTTCATTGTACAAAAATGCTCATAAATGTCTACTATTTTGGGGGTACTGACTTTCACGTAAAACCTAATTTGCCTATAGTAAAACACACTACAACTAAAAATGTCACAGAAAATAACTAGTTTTCTCACGCTGAAATCTGATATAAATGATTAAAATTCTGATAAAAAGTTTCTAGCCATAGGCTTGTGAATTGGCACGTAGGGTACCTGAAAATACATAACCATTTTAAGGTGCCAAGCATTTACTGCTCTCAAACTGATATTTTGGTATCTCTGAAAAAGAAGTTTCCCAAAGTACTTCATTTAAGATTCTATATCCATCTTTTAGCCAACTGTGTTTGAAGATCTGTCAAAGTCAAAATTTGGAAAACTTCTATTAATCAGCCTCTATTCAACTATATCTACTTACTGAATTTATATAAACCCTGGTCTTAATATGGAAAAATATCACCTATATCAAAATGCATTCACCCTAACTGATGTCAGAGGTACTTTAGTTTTAAGAACACAGGATGAAATTGCTTACAGCTGTCAAAGAAAAATCCATCTTTAACACCACTAAAATCACGGAAACCTTTGGAGAACTGGTAGTTCTAATCTCAGGTATTTTTCTTCTATTGGACACCTTAAGAGGAATCCGTAAAACGGTGTTCTGAAACAGAGAAGACTGCTTATGTCTTTGCAATATTGCATTCTCATCAGATGGAAACTGGATTTTGCAGTGCTTGGTGGTCTCCAGTGAACTGTGCAGACAAGAAGGGGAAAAACAACACCCAAGCATTTCCCCACTCTACAACAGGAAAGTGGTCACACGTCAACCACGGGGAAGTAATTACAAAAAAAAATCTGCTTTGGGTGATATTGGGTGCCAACTTTGACAGTGTAACTCAACATTCCACTAACTCTAGCATGGTTCAGTGTTTCTTCTAAAAATGCTCTTTAGGAGCACGCAAATGACAAAATTTCCACTTGAGGAAGGTAAAAAGGAAAAGTACATTTAACACTTTCAAGATGATACTGTGAACAAAGGATAAAAAATAAATTTATAAAAATAACTTTAATCCTTACAGTGGTACATACCACTTGGATAGATATTTATCTATCTATATTAAAGTATTCTTGCTAGCACCTTGTCAGCTTCAAGTATTTTGCATTTTCCTAACTACCATCAAAATTTTGTTTGCAGCCGTAATTGATCGCTAGAGACAGCCTGTGTTTTTGCTCTGTGAAACAGAGAGGTGATGCAGTTGCCCCATCTTCTGATGCCCTCCCCCTCACTTCTACATTGTAACTATTAATGAAGACAAAAATCGCAAGACTAACTGCTGAGCAGAAAACAGCATTAATAGTCTCAACACTGTTAGCTTCTCTGCCAAAACTACTTTAGGAAAGTTAAAGAGCTTTCCACTGGCTGCAGGCTGTACGACTCTCCCTCTTGTTCTGTGGAAGTGTGGTGAAAGTGTGTTGGGGCCTCACTACACACACGTGTAGTTTCTGTTTAGCTTCTCTAATAACCATATGTCTACTTTTATGCAAATCACCTGCATGTCCAGTCCACAGGAAAGAAGGCTTTGTGGCCTCTGAGGTCGAAAGACAACAGAGGAGCAGATATTTGAGTGTCTCAAGGACCGGCTGACTTTCTTGTTTTCTAAGTCTATAATCTTTATTGTCCCAGAATCATCTGCTGCAGCCAAGAAATTGTCAGTCTCGTTCACTGAAAGGCAACTGATCTCCTCCTCGTTCACTTGGAAGCATTCAGTAGGCTCCTTAAGAGATCGAACATCCAGCAAACTGATAGTTTCTCCATGGGAAGTGTACAGCCTGGTAGGACAGGTGGGAGAGAACACAACAGAGGTAACATCATCTGCCTTACAAAGCTGGAGCTGTCCTACTGGAATGCCTTTTCCATCCCAGATGGTGAGCTCGCCTCTTTCTGCTCCTGAAGCTACCAGCCCTTCCTTGTTTATGTTCAGGCACAGTATAGAGGAGGAATGCCCATCAGTCCATTTGACTGCCATATTTCAGGGCCACCTGTGAAACAAACAAACGGAAAACTGAATTGAGCTGGAGTTGTTCTCATTACGATGTAAAGCTTACCTAAGAAGTGAGATTATTGGTTTGACTCAGTCACACACACCAGATGAAACTCTAGTGTCCAGTGAAAACAGACACCTCTATAGGTAAGTACCCAGGTGGAAGCTTTGGCTCAAGCATTATCAACAGACTACATCAGCAACAACATAATGGGTTGGTAGAAGTGATCGCATATGTGCTTGTGAAGGACATGAATTAGATCTGCTGCTCTGAAGTAGCTACCTAAGTGGGGGTTGCTTTCTCTGCCATTTCTTTGCAGTGAATATGGATATAGTGTGTCTGACGAACTAGGGGCACAGTTTCAAGGGGGGCTTACTGGAAAGGAGAAAGGGGAAGATTGTTACAGTTTGCAGAGAAGTCCTACTGTTCCAGTCTGTGTGAGGGCAACCACATATGAACATACCTTTTATCCAGGTATGGATATGCTAGATAATCAATATCCAACATTAATTTGTAAAGCAACCTTGTAATACCTGGAGTAAAAAAACTTGTGCTGGTGAAAGGGGGATAAACTGATTAATGCTGAAGTGACTACTTTAATTATGGTTTAAAAGCATACATTAGTATGAATAAATTTTAAACTGTTTTGCATGTGTACTTCGTGTTCCCAAACTGAAGTTAATTCTCACTTGACTGGTAAACACTAAAGCATATTTGCCTAAACAGACATACAGTAACACAAGGTGTGTTTGAAAAAAATATCAGCAGTTTAACAAAAGTAGTTACACTGTTTACTGCACATTTACTAGGGTCTTAAAGCAGCATACATTCAGCTTACTGTGCTCCTGGCCCTTTCCTGTGCACTAGCCCATGATAAGACAGTTTAGGGAGCCATGCCAGCAGAAAATGAAATGGGGCGGGGGGAAGGAGGAAGGGAGGGAGAAAAGCAACACAAAAACACAGCAGGTTTGAGCTTGCTTAGCTCCCTGAACCAGCTCACAAGGGCAAAGGAGAGCTAGTACCTGTGCAAGGGAGTAGACACAACATGGGGTTTGCAGGATGGAACTACGGCTGGATGCCAGTGAGCTTAAGTTACCATAGAGCATACTGTAACATTTACCTTTTTATTACATCAGAAAGCAATGAGTGAAGTACTCCTTTTTGTACTATGCTACTTTTTTTGTGTATGTAATTTTTATTCAGCTGGATTTGAAGAGTAGTTAAAATTGATTCTATCCACCGACAGAATTTCAATCTTCTTGATTAAATGAAATTACCCAAAGTGCCAGCTATGTTGTTAGCAAATGATGTTCCTGTATTCAGGAAGTTGAGAAAATTATTTCTGGTTACCCTCTCCCACACTGTGGGACCTAGTACATCTCACTGATATATCTAGTTTCTGGCTTTACAGGAAGAAAACCTTCTCCCAGTTGGTTTCTCAGCATTTGAATAAACGAGTTATTGAAATAGAATTAGCTCATATTACAGTTAAAAATATGTTTGTATGGCTAGATAAAAGTACTGCTGTCAGTGGCTGTTCCACTGTTACAAGAAACTCTGCTTGCAGTTGCTTACACAGCAAGTTTAGTAAGTTAAAGTTTCAACAGTAAATACTGTGCTCACTGATTCTCTAACTCAATGCTTTTAATTATTTTAGGCCATTAATATAGGTTGACTGCTTAAAGGTAATACATTTTAAAAGGTGTATTTGAATCCAATGCCAGTCCTATTTATTTTAATGCAGTTGTATTCGTGTAG